CGGGGACCCTGCGACGGCCCTACGGGGGCCCTATTTAGGTCTAAATAGGGGTGTCTGTACGGCGGACGACGGCTGACACTACGACAAAACCAAAAAAGAATTCTCTTTTCGTTTTTTTCTTCGCGATTTCTAGTAACTCTCTTCAAAATATTCTTTTTAGAATATTCTCAACTCTTCGAGAGGTAATTTTTGAGGCACTCTTTAGGGGCTATTCTCCGGGGTACTCTCCAGAGTACTCTCCGGGGTACTCTCCGGGGTACTCTCCGAGGATTCTTCCGGGTACTCTTCGAGGTACTCTCCGGGGTACTCTCTCGGGTACTCTTCCGGGTACTCTTCCGGGTACTTACGTTTTATGAAGTTCTTCGCAAAAAGAAAAAAATTTACGGGACTTTCCGCGGAACTTCCCGCGAAGTCTTTTTTTTTTTTTTTTTTTTCCCCAGTGATTTCTCGAGTAAATCTTTAAGAAACCCCTCGAGTAACCCTCTAAGTACTCTCTAAAATACCCTTCTCGAGTACCTCCGAAAGTATACCCTTAAATAATCTCTTAAATCCTTCTCGAGTACCCTATAAAGAATCCCTTAAAGTATTTCTCTAAAATATTTCTTTAGAAAATCTCTTCAAATATTTTTTCAAAGTCGCGGGAAGAAAAAAAAAATTGAAGAAAAAAATTGGTTTTGGTTTTGTCGTAGTGTCAGCCGTCGTCCGCCGTGGTCTGGCTGTCAAGCGCAAAAAAAGCCTGGTCCCGGGGGTGTCTGCGCTTGACAGCCGAACCCCTATTTAAACCTAAATAGGGCCCCCGTAAGAGCTGCTGCTAACACCCACTCGGCTTTCGTCTGATATTTAAGCTGGTAGGTCACCCATTAAATACGGTCGGAGATATTTCCTCTTTTCTATGGTCGGATGGCCCAGGTCGCGAATTTTCTCCTTTGCGATTTTTGTCATGAATGGCAAATTACCAAATCATACCCCAAGTAATGGCAAATTACTGAATCATACCCCTAGGGGTATGATTCAGTAATTAGGGGTATGATTCGGTAAGGATTCATAGTTTCGGGGTATGAATTAGTAATTAGCCCGAAAAATAGCAACGTCGAACAATCATTTTCTATGCATTAACACACAATTCTTATCCTGCCATGAAAAACCCGCAGGCAATTGTTCCCTTCGCATAAAGTCTTCTTCCCCCTCGTCCATTCTTCCCTTCTCGTTGTCAAGACCCCGTTCCTGCACTCCTGCTACCGCACTCTTCGAAAACAAACATCCATCACCACTACACAGCGTACAACCACCCCCCTCTCAACCAACCAAACCACCAACCAACCAATCAACCACCACCAACCATGCGCCTGACCACCTTCCTTCCACTCGCCCTCCTCGCCCTCGCAACCGCCATTCCGCTTGCGCCCACCTCGCGCACAGCACTCGAAGCTCATGCCCCGACTTCGACAGCGCTCGCCTCTTCCAACGGAACGGTGCTGATGCGCGATTGGCTCAACGACTTTGCGACCTGGTGGGATTGCCACGTCTATTATGGGAATGGCAAGAGCGCTTGTTAGTTGAAGAGGAGAAAGGGCTGTGATGACTTCTGCGCACTCATAGATGGCATGTTTTTGTTGTATGGATGTATGTATGCTATGGTAGATGATTTCAGAGAAGGACGAGTGAACGAGCAAACATTTTGAAAGATCGTGAAGATGTTTACCTCCAGTGATGTAGCGATTTTCTATTTCAAGATTACCATGCGAATTTGTTTTATTATTGGAGTACAAACCAACAGCAACGGACCTCGAATGAAGCACTTACGCAGTCTTCTTCCTCGTATACACTTCTCTGCCCGATTATTATTATTAAGATGTTCTTTCGACGTTCCCATTAGAAAATCCACTCGACCCCTTCCTCACCGCACCAAAAGACACAATCATCGCCACTACAAAATATCATACACACTCAAACACATGACTTAAGTCATGCGACTCCACTACCTCCTCTCCATCGCCCTCTTCACCCTCGCAACAGCCACTCCACTTCCTGCCTCCCCACAAAATGCACCAAAAGCACGCGCCCCTCCCTCAACGAAACGCGCCCGCCCGGACAGCGGTGTCAACAAACGCATTCGTCGTCAAGCGTGGACCTCTTTCATTGGCTTTCCTACCACTAGGCCCCGAATGCTGCTGCCGCTGACTGCTAGCGCCAAGAGCAAGACATTGTGGGATGATGGAGGGGAAAAAGAGGGGAGGGAGGGGAAGACGGGGAGTTCATGACTTCTAACTGTTGATACCGATTGGTTAGGGTGGCCTATGAGACGTGGGTGCTGCGCCGCGGGGTTGATGGTTGGTGCCCAGTTCTGCCCGGCATTGATAGCATGATTTTTGATGTGTACAAAGATGACCTGACGCACAAGAATATTCATGGTCAAGGATACGTCTTCACAAGTATCAGCGATCTGCAACTGAGTCGGAGCCACGTATTGCTTCAAGATCCATTCAATTCCAAATGTCCATCCAAACTCGGGAATGATTATGTTTATAAGTTTTAGAAGGTTAGATACTTGGGACTGTTCTTCATTACTTAGCATCCTCTTTTGCTGAGAGGAATAACAAGCACAACGGACTGCTCCCCAAGTACCCGTAGGAGTGACCTGCAGTGTTGAAGCATCTCAGCGGATGCAATGACCTCATTTGGAAACACGGCAGCGGAAGCTAGGATTAGCATGTTCGGGATTAACGACGGGATTCTCCACATGTACTTAAATCTCTAAGGCCCCGAGGCGCGGAGAAGAGTCCTCTCATCGATGCAATACGAGTAGCGGAGAAGCTGTCAACGGACTCTGTTGACCCGGTCAGTTATGAGGATTGTAGGGTAAGAATGCTTGCACTTCATCCTTGCTCTCTCTGAATATACCATTGGAAGCCCGAATCTCAAGATCCGTGTCTCTATTATTTCTCTGTCCCCCAAGCACCCCTACTCTCTAGGCCGTTCTCAAGACACATCATTGAGATCACTACTTATGAGCCTTGCTAGACCCCAGAACCCAGGTCACTCAGAAATCGGTACTCAAACAGGCCCTATTGTGTAGTAACAAAAGGATTGCCCTTCTTTATGCATTCGTCTTTGAGTTTCCTTCTTCTTCATGACGTAGGATGCTTGGTCACTACTCGTAATGTCCCTTTCGCCACGGTCGAGTCAAAACCTCTAAGCACGAATAATAGAGGCATCATGATAGAGCAGTTAGGGGACTTGATTTATTGCATGCACAAATAATGTAGCTATGTAAGTACGAATTGCAGTTGGAATTTTGCCACGCCCACTAAGGTATCCCTACTCGTAGCCCTAACCCTAAAGTATGCATAATACGAACTAGTCTAATTTCTCGAATGACGCCGCATGGTTCCCAGTAAAGACCTTGGAATAGACCCACAAAGCAAGCGGAAAGTCCATAGCGTTAGGGAAAAGGAGAGACACAATGGCAAACGACTGGATTGACATCCATGGACATTTCACTCCTCCCACCTCGTCCGAAGATCGAGAAAAGAGATGGCATGCAATGCGAGAGGAAAAGTTTTTGGTACCTGAACCCTTCGAATGGACACCAGAGAGCACTTTAGCATACCTGGACAAGGCGGGCATCGCCATGCAAATGCTTAGCAACCTGCCCAAGCAGCTTGACGCTCTGAAAGAGTCCAACGATTACGCTGCGTCTCTCGTGAGGAAGCATCCCAAGCGTTTTGGCTTGCTTGCGGCTCTTCCAACGGACAGCCCTGAAGCTGCCCTGGCTGAAATTGATCGAGCCACTCACGAACTCGACGCGGATGGCTTCGCCGTCACTTGCAATTATAACGGAGTCTTCCTCGGAGACTCCAGCCTTGATCCCGTCTGGGCCGAGCTCAACCGCCGGCATGCCGCTGTCTTCGTCCACCCAGACGCCTATGCTCCAGCCTCAATGGGCCGCCCAAGTCCCTTGATCGAAGTAGCCTTCGAAACTACTCGGACAGTCGTGGACATGCTGTACGCCGGCATTTTCCGGAGGTTTCCCAACATCGCCTTCATCCTGGCTCACTCCGGCGGCGCGTTACCAGTGCTCTCCGGTCGTCTGAAGCTTCTCGGCACCGAGGCCTGGGTACCCAACCCGAACAGAATCACTCAAGCGGAGATCCAGGAGCAGCTCGCGAGGTTGTATCTTGACACGGCGGCAACTGCTCCTACGGGTATGGCACCAGCGTTGCATATGGTCCCTCCAGATCACTTGGTGTATGGCGCAGACTGTGGTGTACCGTGCTCGACGGAGTCGACTATGGAAGCGAATAAGAAGGCGGTGCTTGAGTATGAGGGTCTGTCGAGAAGTCAGCGTGATGCAATAGGTCGAAACGTGCTTTCTCTGTTTCCAGCGGCTGCGGCGAGATTGGAGAAGCGGTGATGGACTGAGAGACCTGTTTCGGTACAGATGCATAGCCGTGCGACGAAACTTTCGTTCTATTGGAACAGAGAATAGCTCGCAACTGTTTCAAAGCAAGTGAGGAAACACATGGAGGATGTTGGAACGTTTCTGGGAGAAGCGTTTCTTTGACGTCGCAGCGAACCTACGAGACAGGGTCGCAGAATCTGCTCGTCTTTCAGAGACCTTTGTCTCCATGATGCATCACTATGTTCGTAATAAGGCCGGTACTTCTTCGGCCCAAAAGTTTGAAGACCGAAGTTTTTTTTGCTGTGTTGATGATTTTGGAAAACACCAACCTCCTCATTTTCTTAAAGACCTCTTACATCATCTTCCCACCACCCTTTCTGTCAACTACACCAACTCACGTCCACAACGAACAGCCGTTCCATCTTGCATTGCATCGATCATTTTTGCTACCTCTTCGCACCAGCAAAGCTCTAAGCCGTCCTCACAGACGCCACGACTGATCAAGCACGCTTCCTGGTCGCGCTTCTTACAAGAATCAGCACGGTCTCCTCTTTCGCCCTTGTCACCTACACCACAGTCAAAAGGCAACCACGCAGCAATGCCTCCCATCCCAGCTGCCCATATGGCAATGGTGCTAAGAGCAGTGGTAGCTCTATTCGTCTTCGGACTGGGTATGACAGCTGTCAGTGTCGTGGGCTTTCCCAACGACTACTACAGCGGACGTGTACATCCGCCCCTACCTCCTCTGGACTATTATGGTGGGCCGATCGACGTTCAGCAGCTTCTGCACGACGCACCGACTCCGACGCTGCCTCTTCACATTTCGTACGCAGCGCCCTTCAATATCCTTCTCAAATCAACTCCAACCACTGTTCCAACACCTCACGCCGTCCTCTTTCCCGCATCCACGACTGATGCACCAGCATCAACTCCGTTTTTAGCCCACGTTATTCCTCCACCAGGAGCTTCGAAGCTCGAGCTTCTTCTCATCTGGTGGCAAAACCTATTTCGCTACATCATCAAAATCGTGTGCTCCACGAGCGTCCCGTCCTCACGAGCCACTTTATGGCAAGCTTGGGGGATCGCTTGCCGCATCGCTTACCGGATCCCTTGGGTCATCTCTGCCACGGCTACGGTAAACTTCTTTCGGCATCGGCTGAATTTCCGGAAGTTCAACTGGACAAGTGTCAAAGGCATTGGCAAGGCTGTAACGTCAAAAGCAAACGCTCAACTTGCGACAGGGACCAATGCCACCCAGAACGCTCTCGCAGGAATGTTTACGGGGATCATCCTTGAGCGCCATCAAGATCCGGCCACCATGATGTCGGCAATGCACAGACTTTTGGTTGCCCAGTATGGCAATGCCTGCACATTGAAGATTATGTCTGAAGAAGGAGAAGCGCGGCAACCCGAGGTTGTCAAGGGACCTTCCAATGTGCAGGCCGATCTCGAGAAGCGGAGAGTATTCGACATGGCCAACACACATATCAAAGAGACCTTAGCGAAGGAGAAGGCTCATCTAAATCGGATAGCAAATCAGGAATTCAGAAGATTGCGGAGGGTTCACGAAGACAAGCTGAATGCGACCTACGAGCAGGATGTGTTTGCAACAGCCAACATCGAGCCCAGCTTTGGCCCTTCATTGCGGAACGCTGAAGTAGAACTCCGATGTCGATTAGGCAAAGTCGGTATCAATGAAGGCCTGCGAGAAGACATCACTAGCATATTCAAGGGTGTTTTGTACTCATTTACCTACGCCATGGCTGTTGAAGAGTCAAGGCCCGAAGGGCGCAATACCCGATACCTCGCAGTCATAGACGGCCAAAATGACCTAATTGAGTCCCTTCGTCTACTGCACGAGCACCGAGAGAGAGCGTATGCGGAGAACGAGGAGCTGGTAAGGTCGCTCTGTCTGTACAATGTAAAAGGAGAGCTGGCACTTCCCGATGATAGCAATGGTATGTACCCATGGGACAAGTACTCTCCTAAGGATGACAAGTTCATACTTTCACCACTTGACGGGCCCATTGCCCTAAGCATGAAGTTTTCTGTATCTTCAGCGCCTTTTCGAGGCCGCCCTGATGCCGATCTGAACTCGGAACCGCACTGGCAGAAATTTCTGGAATCGATCGCCGAGAAAAGTGCAGAGCAGGAAGTGAGACACGTGTCTAACGGAAAATATCGCAATGCGGACGAGAGGGAAGGGGAAAGCGGTATCAACGATTCCAGTGTGGAGGAGCCTTACAATGTCTTACAAGATGATAATGAGGAGCTCCCCAACGAGGACGAAGCAAGCGAAAAAAGCGGCATCAAGGATGCTAGCGAACAGAACCATCACGTTGTCGCACAAAGTTATGATGATATTTCTTTCGATAAGACCGAAGTAAAGAGCAAGAGTGGTATCAGAGACACCAGTGAGGAAATTCATCACGATGGCTCGCAAAGTTCGGATGTGGACCCCAAGGACGATGAAATAGAAGAGGATACAGACATCAAAGATGCCAGTGAACAGGATGATCATGGGCCAACCGATCGTCCTTCGAGCCCTTCAGAAGAACGTGATGCACACAATGGTGGGTCATTTCTGCATCAAGAACGTCGCGCTAGCTAATCTTCTGTACAGACCACCTTGCGGAGCCTGATTTGCCTCCTGCTAGCACCACTGAGGACACTGGAGACGCATTACTTGCAAGAGCTCTCGAAGTCCAAGAGCAAGAGTATGAGCTACTCAATGCCAAGGATGAGCTCCAATGGCATGAATGGCAGATCGCGTACCTGAAAGATGGCTACGGAACTCCCGAAGATCCCTATGCGAAACCCTCCGAAGATATCTGCGCAGAGCCTATCGCACCACCTGCTTCTACTAGCATCACCGAGGAAAGTAGCGATGCAGCGATCGCAAGACGGTTCCATGAGGTAGAGTTGGTCGTGTGGCGTGCGGATCGCATCCGGCGCTTTGAAGATGGGGCTGCAATACTGACAGCGCAGGTTGCAAATTTGGACGCAATTCTCAGAGGAGGCGCTCCCATGACAAAAACCCAGAAGCGCGTACTTGAACGTAAGCGCGCCAAAGCTAAGAGAGCTGAGGAAGCCGAGCAACCCCGATAACGGAGAATGTAGCTCGTCGAGGAAGAAGGTAGGCGGGCAACAACCTCACGTTGAGCAATTTTTGCGCTGAAAAACTCTGGACCTTAACACTACCGCTTCGACGTCACCATCGCGTCTACCAAATGCTGGTATCGTATGATACCGCACCCCCAAATCGCCTCACCCCCCAGTTTCGCAATTGGAGGTTAGCAATGACAGCTAGAGATAGTCTGTTGGCGTACCGCCAACGGACGCGGTTTGGGGTTACTACATTCTTTGATCGTACCACCGACGATGATTTTGCTGAGAAGGGTTGAATGATGGATGAACGTTGGAAGCTGGATTAGAATTGCAAAAGAAACGGAATGGGATCTCCATGTTGATGATGGAATGGGCAGGGATGGACGATATTGGCAGGATACGAAAGGGTAGTGCAGTGAGCTGTACGGGGCGGGTCAGAGATCGTTGGGACATGAAAGGGTAGTGCAGTGAGTTGCACAGGGCCGGTCAGAGAATGCGGCATGTTTTCACAAAGATCAGGCAGATGCTCTTATGGAAAAGGGGATGTTCAGGTGTTCGATTGTTTGGCAATTTTTCATAAAAGAGGTGAATCAGGGTGAAGTAGTAGTGATCCTGGCTACGCATTGTTGGTGAAAGAGCGGTGGTCTTTATTCTGCCAGAAAGCATCAGGTGGTTAGGGATAAGGGCTCTTTCTTCGCCTTTGTTGTCATTCTTTCAACGGCAATAGTAATACTGGGGACCTGTAATCTCATGTATTCTAGACAACGTGTAATCCCATCTACTCTACTAGGAGCATTAATTCATCGAGCATGTCCAACTGAATTTGTGTAACCGTAGATCTGCCTCGACAGCATATGAGGTCTGGAGCGACTATTGCTGGACCTCTGACATTGCTGGACCTCTGACATTGAAGGACCCATGAACATACAACAAAGCCCATCGTCCAAATCAAGCCTCCTTTGTCTTGTCCAAGCCGGGACCCATTCATCTACCCTTCTTGTGACCAAATACCAATGGAAGAAAATCCTCCAACATAGCCCAACTCACCTTTCCTCGAGCCAGTAAACAAGCCAACTCTCGGGCATCAACCCCAACCATCCACCCACAGCAGCGGCAGCTCCAGCCAGAACTCTCGCTCGGCCCTTCGGCCTTTCGGAAACCATCCGCGTTTGAAATTTTCGTGCGGGGTTGGCAAGTTTTTCGCCAGTGTTGATGCTATTCACTTCACTGGTGACTCAGATTTTTCGCCTAAACACTCACTGTGATGAACTTCGCACAAAACCACACCGACTCACAACAACTTTCACATTTCCACAACCACACTCCTCATCCACAACATCATCACCATACACCTTTACGGTATCACAAACACCTCCTGCATCATCCTACAGGGCCCTGCATCCTTCAAACAGCTACATCCTCATCATCACATCACCCCAACCTCACGCGTCTTCCGAGGCACGTCACCACCGCTACCGACCGTCATGGCTCACCGCGGACCGCTTAGAGAGATGTTCGGCCTGCTATGCATGGCTGTAATCCTTCCGAAGGTCGAGAAGATAGCCACCCCAGTAGCAAACACAGGCTACATCATCGACACCACCGAGGACAACAACATCCACAGCATCATGGTCTCGCCCGTCACAACACCTCCTACCACCGGCTTCCTGTCCCTTCTCATTTCACTCTTCACTACAGCACTAGCCGTCCTTGGCGACGAGCTCATAAACGCGGCCGCCATATGGATGCTTACCAACGGCCTGCTACCCTCACTTAGGATCATCAAGCGACTGGTCACTTGGACTGGCACGTCCATTCACCGACTCTTTCGAGCGCCCAGACACGTCATTGGCGGGGATACAACTCCAGAAGAAGAGGTTACCAACGGGGATCCAACCGATGGAACGCATCGATCCACACCATCACAAACTACATCAGCAGGAGAAGATGACGAGGACGAGTGGTTTGATACCCAAGAATCACGGCTATCACCGGGAGAAATCCCCGACAACACTCCACTCCCACCAACAAATGACCAAGCTTTGGCTGATCTCCGAGCGGAATCGGCAGGGAAAGATGCGGAAATTGCCATGCTTGCCAAAGCCGTCAGCGGGAAAAGCGATACTATTGTGACTCTCGACCAAAGAAGTAGCCGTTTGATGGGGAACCTACGCACTACTCTGGACCCTCAAGGCCTGTATTCGTCTAGAGCGGACGTCGTTGTGATGGCCAACGACCTGACACTTGACTTCAATCGTGTCTCGAGGAAGCTAGAACGCAAGAAGAAAGAGCTCGAAGAGGCAGTGGCTCGTCAAGAGAGTGGGCAGCTTGCGGCGAAGGACAAGAAGATCTCTAAGTTGTCTCTCGAGATCACGAGACTCAGTACTCGAAGTGAAAGGCTGGAGAGAGAACTCCGCCTGTGCCTTGAAGAGGCAGAGAAAAACAAAGAATCGGCCGGGACGAGAGAGGCGGCGCTCAAAGAGCGGACCTTGGCCGCAGAGAGCGCAGTTAAGATGGCAATCTCCCAAAGACAGCATGACGTTGTCAGGGATCAACTTGACGGTGTGGTCGGAGAACTGAGTGACGCCATCAACACTCAAGGCCGTCTGAATACCGAACTTCAAGCCGAGAGGGCGAGAACTCAAGAGCTCCAAACCATGGCTGACAACGGAGTTGAAGCACGACGGCATTCCGAGACCCTGTTAGACACAGCAACGCGCGATCTTCAGCTAGCCAACGACAACAGTGCCAACTTCGAGAGGCAAGCTCTGGCTATAAATAAAAAGGTATTGGATGCGGAGGAGAGGGCGTGGGACGCGGAGAGGCGGGCTGCCGAGACGGCTACGACAGTGACCGAACTTGAGCAGAAGCTGCAAGAAGCAGAGGAGAGCAAGGAAAGCGGTGCAGAGGTCACAGCCGCCGGAAATGTTTCCAACCAAGACTCAACGACGGAGATCAGCAACCTTCGTCTACAGTTAGAGTTGGCTAACAAGGAGGCCTCGGGTGCGTTTGAATCTGGATATCTACTGGCGATGTCGGACAATGCACCCAGCGACCAGAGCGCGGAGGCCGCTGGCCACAATCTGCCGGATCCTGACCAGCAGAATGCGCCCACGACTCGAGAGAACGAGCTGTTGGCTGAGGTCCAGACGCTCGCAGCGGCCAACAAAGGTCTCCAGCGCTCCGACTCGGCGAGTGAAGCCCGAGCCAACAAGCTGGAATCGGAGAAGCAAGAGCTCCTCGCAGAGCTCAATGCTCTCAAGCAGCGGAAACCAGCGCGGGCGCTCAACCCGGAAGACGAGCCTTTGTTCCAGCAAGGGCACGAAAAAGCGGTTGCCAATTGCGAGCGGGAGGCTCGGGATTTGATCGCAAACGCAGTCCGGCAAGAGGCTGCCGAGGGAGAAGAGCGATGGAAGCACCGAGAAGCTGGATGGCAAGCCGACCTTAAAGCCGCAGAAGCCAACTTTAACGTCGCAGTGGAGAACGCGGCTGTTGGGAGGGTGCACGCCCTTCAGGAGCAGCTCAACAGAAGCGTCCAACGAGCGATACAGGCTGAAAATAAGGTCAACAATCCTGATGGCAAGCTGAGAGAAGCCCGGGAAATAGCTAGTACGGCTTATGATGGTGCCACTAAGCAGTACGACCGAGCAGTAGCGGCGGAGACGCGAGCCAACGAGGCCGAAGGCAAAGTCCAGAAGGAGCACGACCGAGCGCAGGCAGCCGAGGCAGAAGTCGAGAAATACAAGAAAGGCAAGGCGAGTCAGGACGGACGGATCAAGCAATTGAATGATGCTATCGCCGCCGCGACGAGATCCAGTTACCAGGACGAGTGGAAGGCTGTAGAGGCCAAAGCCACGGAGAAAGACCTGATCCGTGCTCGCGCGCTAATTCTGGAGTCCCTCAAGCGTCATTATTGTGAGGAGACACGAGTCGTGCTACGCCAGCTCATCAATGCCAACGACCGGATCGATACCCTCAAGTCCCTGCTGAAAGATCCAGCCAGGGAGCCCAACCAGATGCAATATCTGACAGTGCTCCTAGACGGAGAGGTCATGAAGGAAGATATCAAGAAGTTGCATGCCAAGAATCGTCAAGTGTTGACCAAACAATGTGCCGGTGTCAACGCAAAATATATGGAGCTGAACCACATCATCAAGAGAAGCTCCCCGCCGGACACGAAGGAACTGCTCACACAACTGTTCAAAGATCGAGGGGATGAGATGGCTCGTTGGGACATGAAAGGCTCCGATTCTGAACCAGAGAGTGACGAAGATGAGGACATCAATGTCTTCAATCGACCGCGAAAGCCTTCTTCTCGCCCAATAGGTCTCCCCCCCCCGCATAGATTCGGGCGGTCCTTGCAACCGGGAATGCAATATGGCCCCATGCCTAGCGACCCAAACTCGGACAACCCCTTGAAACGCAAGGGCAATCTGGATGATGGTTCTCCAGATGAATCGACCAAGCGACCTGATACCAGGAAGAAGGATTTGAGACCAACGGGCTCTCCTTTTGGTCTCTCTCATCCACGAGGTTCGTCGTCTCCAGAAGCTGATGGAGACGAAAATGAGACTAAGGCGGTGTCTCAGGTTAACGTGCCATCTGCAGACCGTCTCGGGGAAGCTACTGCCTCGCAACAACAGAGCAATAACCAGCCTCACGTCAGCCCCCAATTGCTAGGCCCAACATCATCCCCCATCCAGCGACGTAGCCCTATATATACCCCTCCAGCGCTTTGGTCAGGAGATTCATCGCAGGCTGAGCACAACCAGGACCCTAAGGCCACGAAGATTCCAGGTCCGATGCCAACATCTAACCTGACATCCTCGGAGCGAAAGGAGAGACTGGTTCATGAGGATGACAAGGCCGCTCCAGCACAAGAAGCAGCCGCGTCCACCGCTGGAGGACCCACTGGTTTCTCCTTCAGCGTGCCTAGGGACGTAGCATCAGGTATTCTACCACATGTCCGCAAATTCACACGGTTATCCGGAACGACTAAC